TTGTGATCCCACAGAGCTCAGTTTACAGGTGAAATGTGAGCATTCTACGTGCTCACTCTTTGTCTTTTCATCAGGTCTGTCTTTTCACTACACACTGTGGCCAATGCCTGCCTTGGCCTTCTCTAGTAAGCCCTTTCGGTATTGTCCTGCCCTGTTCTCCCTGCATCCCACTACCCTGGTTTCTGCTTACAGCACTTTTACATCATTTTTCTACCATGTGTTTATTTGCCTTTCAGTGTGCCTGTACTCAAAACTGTCATTGGCTTAAAACGTGTTCGTCAAAGGTGTCAATGGAAATGTTTTAAAACTTCCCTTTCAGACCTGGTTTCTCGTTAGTGCACCTGAAAATACAAATGGAACATAATGAGTGTATTTCAGAAGCTCTGTTCATTCATCAGCCCCGTTTTCTTCTTCTCTGAAGATTTTATACACTGATCAGAAAAGATGGCATCAAAAAATTATCAATATAACATAACTTGCAAATTACAATCTGCTTGAGCATCTGATTAAGTTACTAATTAATTTGAGATTGAACCATAAATTGCTACTCAAAACATTCATATAGGAGTTTAGCAAATGAATTTAAAATGTTAAAAAAACACTTTGTTGTTAAGTTGGTTCTGACTCATACCGCTCCTCCTAGGAGTGGCTGGTAAGCTTGAACCGCCAACCTTACTGTACAAATTGACTTTGCAGCCCAGTACATTAACCCACAGCACCACACCAGGACTCCACATCAAGGATCAAAACTTTCTTCCAAAGACTCTCAAATAGGACTGTGATGGGTGAATCTAAAGGTCAGTGTTAATGTTCCTGTTCCCTTCTGAGCATGAATTCATCATAAATGTTTACTAGAAAACATTTTAAATGTACACTTCAGTAACATTAATCACATTTATCTTGCCATTCAACCATCACCACTATTCATTTCCAAATGTTTCCATCTCCTTTTTCATAGGAAGTCAGTGTCCCCTAAGCAGTGGGTCCTTCCCCCCTTTTCTTCTGCCCCTTGAAAACATCATGCTTGGCAAAGGGGAAGGTCAATGAAAAAAAGGATGGCCCCCAACAAAATGGATTGCCATGGTAGCAGCAATAATGGGCTCAAACCTAATAGCTGTAAGGATGGTATAGGACCTGACGGTATTTTCTTCTGTTGTGTATAGGGTTGCTATTAGTCAAAACCTACTCAGTAACAACTTATATTTGTCCTCTTGTGAGGATAGGAAAAGTGTGATATAATCTTGTTGTTAAATGCCATTGTTTCAGCGCCAATGGATAGCAATTCTGTACAGGGTTACTACAGTGTGACTAGTGGGCTTGAACTGATGACCTTGCAGTTAGCAGTCCAATGCCAATCCTACAGTGCCACAACGGGATCCAAAATAGGTAAGTATATAGAGATGTAGGTTTTTTGTGGTTATCAGGGGCAGAAAGAAAGAGGAATTTGTCATTTTGTGACAAAAGTAGGCCTGGTGGCATGATGGATTAAGCCTTGGACTGCTAATCAAAAGGTCAGCACTTCAAACCCACTAGCTGTTCCATGGGGAGAAGATGAGGCAGTCTGCTTCCATAAAGATTTATAGCCCCAGAAACCCTATCAAGCAATTCTACTCTGGGTCGCTATGAATTGGAATCAACTCCATAACACTGAGTTTCATGACAAACTTTCTCCACTCAGCCTGTGTCAGGATTTCATTTCTCCTTGTGGTAGGGCAATACTCCACTGTCCACTCAGCCTGTATCAGGATTTCATTTCTCCTTGTG